AATCCAATTAAGGTGCATCCCTAAAATTTATCACAACATGTAATTTTGGTGTAACAATTATTAGGATTATCTGAAAATCTATTTTCATATCTAATTATAAAATTTTAAACTCCAAAAATAGTTAAAATCAAGTAGATTTATGAACATATGAAAATATTGAAAATAAATGGTCTAGATAATGTGTTGCAAGATGCACTATTTCCAGGACTCAAAATCTTTTTTTTTTTTGGTCATATTCATACATCTCTATACCGAGATGATCAACTAGAGGGTTTTTCAATGTTAAAGCAACCTTCTCAAATGGATTTTTGAGGTGCATCTGTATTTTAAGGTTGCAATCTTATATAAACTTTTTCCCTTATTTTTATTGTAATTTAACAATAGGCCCTTCTTAGAATTTTATTTCAGGCAACAAATAAATCTTTGGAAAAAATTATTATCAAATCCCCTCACTCCTCTATCCCTTTTCCTTTTCACCTTATCTTTCTATTAGAATTGCCATCACTAATTTCTTTATAGGAAAGAGTAAAGGGATTGTATATAATGAGACCATTTACTCACAATTTCTTATAACCATCTGATGTGAAATATGATAATTTGAATGTGATACAAACTTCAAGAAAAAATCTTTTAAAGTTTGAGCTTAGTCAATAGAATAAATGTAACAATTCAATTTTATATCCAATAGTCAATATTACTTATGACCCACCCATACCCCTTGGGTGAGAATTGCCACAACGAAAGATAGAGAGGAGAGAGAAGGTCCACATGAGAGACTGGTGAAGCGTTAGCTGAGAAGTATAAAAGAGGGAGGAGAAGAAAAAATACTTATTCCTTATAATGAAATTATTAAGGGTGCGGTTTGTAATTTGGTTCAAATAGGTACACAGACATAAAACTGAAAAAGCTGAGGGTTGAACCTCAAATGTCATTTTATGTACAAGAACAATACTAAAATTTAGCCAAAGATAAGGCTTGGAGAAATGACCCAAAAAAAGAGACTTTTGTTCAAATGGGTCTACTGCCTGTGAAACTGAAACAGTTTTCAGCTAAGGGTTGAACCTCTCTACCCCCCCCCCCTCCCCTGCCTTTCAAAATATTGGATCTGCATGCAAAAATTAGCCAAATTTGTAGTGTTTTGGTTTGGATACAATATTCGGGAAGCATTGCCGATATTGTTTCTTATAATAAATAAAAGAACTCGAAAAAAGCATTTCATTGCTAGTGTAGGTACAACACAACACACTCCAATCCTAAGAGTGATCCATCTTAGTATTGTTCTTGTACATGAAAGCTTAATTTTGGGGTAAGCTAAATATTTTTGGAAGAATTTAAATCCTTCTTACAGAGTGAGTGTGGTGGCGCATGTGCTTCCCCATGAGATCCAAAACTCTTCTTGCACATGCATGCTTAAGTTTACAATTTCAGAGAAAGAGAGAGCCCTTTTGGTTGATGAATACTGAAAATTGCTCATACTAATATTTAACCACTTTCCATGTTGCAGATTGATTACATTATAGGCAAGAACCCGCGAAAGATGAGCTATACTGTGGGTTTCGGAAACGACAACCCAAAACATGTGCGCCATAGAGCAGCTTCAATCCCTAAGAACAAGAACAAGTACTCTTGCAAGGGTGGGGCGAAATGGGGAGGGACACGCCCAAGCCTAACCCAAACACACTTGTGGGGGCAATGGTGGCAGGACCCAACAAGCACGATGGTTTCAAAGAAGTAAGAGGAAACTACAATTACACCGAGCCCATTCTCGCTGGTAATACTGCCTTGGTGGTTGCTTTGTTTGCTCTCTCCGGTGAGTCACATTCCATCGACAAGAATACAATCTTCTTTGCGGTGCCACCGATGTTCCCTACTCCCTCGCCACCTCCGGCTCCTTGGAAACCTTGCGACAGAGACAGAGAGAGAGATATAGAGGGAGAGAGCCACCACAATCCTTTTTAGGATGGTGGTGTTTATTTGTTCTTAAGCTAGAAAGAGAGGGGGACTAGAAAATGAGGAGAGGTTACATGGGGTCTCTGATGTTGGGGGTTTGCTTGTTCTTAATCTTTATTGCGTTCATAGTTTGTAGGTACAATATTCTTGATTTTTTCTCACTCTTTATGAGCTCAATGTGACATATAGAGTTATATTGTGTCTTTGCAACTAGTTTTTGACTCCCCAAAGAGGGATGCTAATGATAAAAGCATTATGAAATTTGTGCTCCTCCTTTTGTGTATCTGGTTTCAATATTTGCGAACTCTTTTTAAGTCATGGGACTCTCATTTGAGCAAGATTTCTATAAAGGTCCAAAAAAGATGCATAAACTAGAAGATATTAGACTTGATTTGATTTGTATGCCATTCCAAAGCAGAGCATTTGGAGTCTTTCATCACCTTGATTTTTATAAGATACTTGTGATCTTGTGCAGTTTTGGCCACTTCAAAAACTACCCAAAACATATTTTGTGGTTGTTTTACTATTGCCAGCAGTGACTGCTTGAGATGCACAAGTGCGCTATACATTGGGTAGAAAATCTACTTGTTAGTATTTGTTTGATCTAAAATTTTAGGATCCGATACGGAATCACTAGAATGTTCTTTGCAAAAATAACTGGACATTATAAGCACTTAGATTTCACTGTCCAAATACGTTCTCAGCAATGAAAACTGGACATTATAAGCACTTAGATTTCACTGTCCAAATACGGGTTGAATTCCATTCGATCTTGGGACATTATATTTTTAGGCACTTAACAAAATGCTTGTGAATTCTTTTTTTTTTTTTTTTTTTTCTTGATGAGGATGGTAGTCTTGATCAAAAGGAGGATCCAAGCATCCCACCTTTGAGGGATATGTGGATGATCTCAATGAAATGAGCATGGAAATTTGCTGAAAAATGCATCAAAAACTCCTTGCTCATTTTAGCTAGAGAAATTCATGTAGCTTGGGCTTATAGTTTAGCATCCAAGAGCAGGAAAAAGTATATATAAGGTGCCAACTTTATATTGTAGAAGTAAGGCGCGCTTGAAAAATCTATCTGAAAGGATGTTCAGATATCAAAACCCTATAGTTAATCATCTTGGCCTTGAGAATGTACATTTAACAAATTGAAAGACTCACAATTAGCGAGACAGGCTCTAGTGATAATATATAGCATTTGATAACAATTTAAAATACATTCTACTCATCTACAAACCTTTCAAGAAATAGGTTGACAAATTATTGCCATAGTGATAATACATTGCATTTGATAACTTTAATATTACATACAATTCATCAACTACCTACCAAATTGGGTAGTCCATTCAATAACAAAATTGTTCATATAAAGTTTAGTAGTCCTGCCCATTATCAAATAATGGTTCGTTCCTTGTATCCAATCACCTTACATATCACCTAACAACCCAAAAAGAAGTGAAATGAGTACAATGGTATACAACCTATATCTTTGTTTTGAGCGAATGACATAAAACCTACATCAATAATGCCAATAGTTTAACAACAAAATTTTCAAAAAAAAGAAGAAGAAAAGCAACATAGCCCCTCCTTTGGAGTTGTTCCATATGAATTTGTCCTCTCTGCCTGAGACATAAAACACATTTTGATGAGTGACAATAGTGTTCCAAATGAAATTACAAATATGAACTTACACGCATATACAAATGTTTCAAAATGAACTTGCACACATGACTTTTAAACAATTTCTTCTTACCATCAACTCACATTTGCTGCTTTCTTAAGGGTCCGAAGCTTATGATGTGTTTTGTCCATAGCGCTGTAAGAGGAAGATAAAATTGTAACAAATAGATATTACATACTTGTGATATAAACTCAATGCAACAGGGGCGAAAAAACCCAATGGCCAAAAACAAAACTACAACAAAAAAGTAAAAAGGGAAAGAAAATGGGAGAAAAAGACAATTGAAAAAATAAATAAATGTTTGCAATAGATGTATTCTAATTTCCAAGAGTAAGTGATTCATTATATGGTACATCAGATGCCACATGAAGATATTGAACAGAAATAAGAAACTCAATTTATTTCAATTTTAATAATACCAATCATGCATTCAGCAGGCCACAAGTAACATTTTAACTTGTAATTTTATAGCGTGCACTAGCAGCATGCATTCATCATGCCGCAAGTGACATTTTCCGCAATTGTAGTTCGATACAAATTTAAACATCAACCATCTTGGCCTAAAAAAGGATTACTGATGGTAATTAAAAATATTATACAAGTATCCTGATACTCATTCCCCTTCAATGGAATCCATTTTTGTTTCCATTGTTACTATGAAAGAATTGGTAAGCCATTAAACAGTCTTGTCCTTTGTTCCCAAACAAGCACATTTCTTACAAAATTCAACCAATATTTTATGCCACATTCATATAATATTCATTTAGGAAATAAGGTAGCTATGGACGGGGAAGAGTATATACAAATAGAGATAATCTAAACTTTTATTAATTTTATAGTTTATTTTTCAAAAAAAGATACTTTTGTGGGGCAATTTTGTAAATATTACTATACGACAAAAAGTACTTTTTTCATCTCCATAAAAGGTAAAATTGAAATTTTAACTAAAAGACAAAGGTACTCTACAAATAAAGTTCCAAGACACCAACTTCCAAAATGTCAATGCATTTTTGTAAAAATTTTGAATTTGCCCTTACTTAACCTATTTAAATAATCTTTTTATAAAAAAATAATCATTGTTTTGGTAAATATACCCATCACAACCCTTTCTAACATGAACCTTTGTATTTTGAGGGGTTGTTATCTCTAGACAAACTCTATATATAAATATATACATTATTTTTTATTTTTATTTCTTATCTTATTTGGGGGAGGGCCCAAAAATAATTTCCAAGCCAAGCGGCCGTTTCCAGGCGGGCCAAAATTTCGGTCATTTTGTCCGCTCCAACCCAACGTGTTAATGAAAAAAAGAGCACGAGGGTCTATAAAGAGGTGAGCAAGAACACGAGGGTCTATAAATAGGTGAGCGGGGTTCGCCATGAATCAAGATTCCAAGCATCATAGAGTGAATAGAGTTAGAGAATGGCTCCCTCTGTTGCTGCAGCTCTAATTCAACCCGTAGAGGCTCGTCCGTCCATAGGTAAAATCAAATACTTAGAAAATGTCCCACTAATCGATCTAGCTCCACTTCAAATGCCCCAAAATTCCTCCAAGGAGGATGCCATCGCTAGTATAGCTAAACAAGTGCACAATGCCATGAAAGAGTGGGGCTTCTTTGTAGTAGTTAACCATTGTCTGTCGCCTGATCTCTGGTCTAATCTGAAGAAGGCTATGGCTGGTTTCTCAGCTTTGCCATATGAGGAGAAGAAGAAGGTGGCTAGAGATCTAAGGAACCCTTGGGGTTACAATGACAAGGACCACACCAAGAATGTCCAAGATTGGGTTGAAGTTTTCGATTATATGTCAACGGAGGAGCTCGAGATACCGCAGAACATGGAGCCCGACTGTAAGGAGACCAAAATTATGGGGAACTTGTGGCCAGAAAAGCCGGACGATTTCAAGTAATATACTCTCTCACACACACACATCCATATGCTCATCCTTTCTATCTCTCTGTTTAATGTTAGTGAGCACATCTTCTCTCACTCTCTCTAGGATTTTCGACTACATCTTCTCTCTCCCTCTAGGTTGTTCATGCCTTCTTTTAAGCTAGAACATCTTAAAAGTGTGCTTGCCTATTATGTATGCTGGAGCACCAAATTTGATTTTTTTAATACACTCAAATAAGATCCTCTTTGGGGAATTTTTTTGAAAAAAAAAAAAAACGAAAAGAAAAAAAATAAAAGATGAGAAATCTCTCACTAAACCCTATGACTTCTCCCTCTCCCAAAGGAAAATATGCCAGGACTTCTCCCAAGAGAGCGTCAAGTTGATGTATCAATTGATGGAGCTCATTTCTCTGAGCTTGGGCCTCCCATCTGATCGATTGCATCGCTATTTCGAGGAGAACGTGGCCTATGTTCGCATAAATCACTACTCACCGTGCCCACACCCAGATTTGGCCTTGGGCAAAGGAGCTCACAGAGATGGAAGTGCATTCACCCTTTTAACCACTGATGAGGTTAGTGGATTCGAGGTTTATCGAAGGTCAGACGGTCAGTGGCTAAGGCTTAGGCCCATACCCAACTCTTACATCATTGTTGCCGGTGATGTTCTTCAGGTATGCATTATCAAGTTCGTAGGGCTGGCAATGGACCGAGCAGACCGGCCTGGCCCTATAAAAGTAGGGCTTGGGCTAAGAACTATGGCTCCACGGCTGGCCTAGGGTCAGTAGTGCCTGGCATGGCCCTCTTGCTTTTCTTTTTTTTCTTCTTTTTTTTGGTTTTTTGGCCCGTCCCAGCCCTAAGAGAGACAGGGTTAGGCGGCTTGGGCCAGCCCAATGGGGGCAAGGCCGATCCACAGCCAAAGATGGCCCACTTGGGCTGCTACTGCCCCTTTTTCTCTCTCTAAAACTACGACCCCACCTTTGCTTCTCCTTTTTTTCTCTCTCTAGAATGGGTCAGATCAGGTCTGAATCTACCGGGATCTATTTTCAACTCCAAAAAGTATACATGAGATCTGGAATATTTATAACTTGGTCGAATTTTGATTGGATCCACCAGTACTCGGATCCGATCTGAATACTATTCAGATTCAAATTTTGGACCCGGATCCAATCTGTCAGATCCAAATTTTGGATCTATACATTGATCCAGATCAGATCAAAATTCAAGTTTTGGATTCAAGTTGGTAAAATCTCAGCCCTACGAGAGAGACAAAGTTAAAGAGAATTTTGTGAGGGACTTTAGAGAGAGAAGGAGAGGGGGAGAAAGAGTGGGAGAGGACGAGTTAAGAATAAGGGCGGCAATGTGCTTGGTGGCCGGCCCAGCCCGGCCTGTTCGTAGTTTTCCCTTGATTATTTCTTTTCCCTTTTAGTATCTTTCTTGAAGTGATAATGTTTTTATGACCTGCACAGGTATGGAGCAATGACATTTATGATAGCCTGCTCCATAGAGTGGTCTTGGACTCTCAAGTTGAGAGGTACTCAGCCATCCATGTGGCTGCACCTTCTTACCATTGCGTAGTGAAGCCATTAGAGGAGTTGGTTGATGAAAATAACCCTGCAAATTATGGTGAATACAAATGGGGTGAATTCTTCATGACAAGGAGGATCAGCAATTTCAAGAAGTTGGACAAGCCTGTGATTGAGGTTACTGACTTTAAAAAGTCCAAATAAGCCAGTCTCATTAGCATATCCTAATTAATTAAGAAAATGCTATGATGATGATGATGAAATAAGCCACTTTCATTGTGAGAAATTAGAAGTTTGTAATGCTTTGCTCTATTGCTCTTGGTTCCTTTTTTATGTTTCTACTAGTAAGTTCTATCTCTAATGTTTGTTCGAAAAAGTGATTTTTGATCCACAAACTACTAAGGTGTAGCTCTAACGTTTTTCTCTTTCTCTCTCTCTCTCACGTACACAATGTGCATCTCTCTCTTCTTTATCATATAGGGTTGCCACTGATAAGGGCCAGTAAAGCACAAAAACTCATTTGGCACGGCCTGAAAATTTGACTTTCTCTATAACGTCTCTTTCCTGTATAGAAAAACATATTGGGTGAATGTGGCCATTAAAGGCCTTATGAGTAATTGTAAAATGAAATGATATCGTGGAACATGAACTCAGTGGAAATGTGGTCCCCTGTGGACTATACTAAGTAAACGATGTTTACAGATACCAAACTGTGCTTGACGGTCTAGGTCAGTCGGTTGGGAAAAACCTCTATTACATGGGCCTAAAAAATTAACCGATAAGAGTTTTAATGGGTTATCCCTTAATGAGTAAGCCAAGGGATTGTGTGACCCTTGTGTATGATGGTGGCCTTCAGAGACGGGGCCAAAGCCTCATCCATGTACCATCACACGGCATGCATAATGATATACCGTTTTGGAAAAACAAATTACCTTTCAAGGTAAAACTTATACATGTGCGAGAGATACCTCTATGCGCCATATATCTAGGTGACATTGACACGTCTATAGGGGATAACCTGAAATACAAAGATAGGAATTGCGACCTTTTGACTCATCGATCAAATTTTGGTGACCCACCAATGAGCTTCTGCATGGACTGTGGACCATGGGAAACACTGAGTCGATTGATAAAGAAAGTATAGTCTACAATTGAAGGTGAAATGCCTCAGATTATTTACTCCTAGACCATATAGATCCTTATCACATCTAATGAATTTAATTGTGTTTATTTTATGATGATATAATTTTAGAATTATTATTTAAAATTTTTCTTGATCTCTGGATATTTTATTTATAAAATTTGGATTTATAAAAACGGAGATATTGATTTTAATGTTTTAAATATTCAAATTAATTCTAAAATAATTTATTGATTTTTAAATATTTAAAAATAGCACTCGGGGCCATTGTGGATATGGCCCACCGTGACCTAAATTGGTGGGGGTAACAAAGCCCCCATGGGTGGCATGCTCTAATTTTTGGGGCTTCCTATTTTGATGGGGTGACAAGCCTTATTTTTAGGGGTTTCCTATCTTATATGGGATAAGTGGTTAAAGAAGATTTGAGTGAATCTTTTAAAAAGCTTGATAATGCTTGTGCATATTTTTGAATAAAACACAATATTATGATTAATATTATTTTATTTGATTTATATTGATGGGATAATGGTCAAATGAAAGAGGAGGATAAAGGTTCTTGCACCTTCCATAATGTTGGTGATACTTAAATCTCTTACCCCATAAGTCATCCAAGATCAATGGTTCATATTCAATCTCACAAAAAGATGCAAAAGCCAAGGAAAACTTTAAAAAACCATAACATTGTTTAAAGCTTATAAAAATGGATTGTCTCTACCTAACATCTCTACACCTTATCGTTTTATCTCTTTCATCTTTAAAATCTCTCCCATATTGTGGTGAAAAAGCTGTTATCTCTCTCCCACATTGTGAAAAAGCCTAAGGGTTTAAGCTATGTAGTTCATCTCTCTCCCATTTCTCAACTATGGATTTATGGCTAAGCATCTTAGGGTATAGCAAAAAGAGAATCCATTTCTCTCAAACTAGGTTGCTAAGGGAATTCACCAAGAGTTGGAGTTTGTAATCAAATGGGTTCATGTTCTATTGGTGTGACTTGGCCTAAACTTGTTTTCCATGTTGAGATTGAAGGTTGATCATTGATCCCGTGCCATTGGATGGTGGTGACTCGGTGTGGGTTGTAATAAGCCCGGTTGAGGAAATCTCCAGCACTATTTTTTTGTTTCTTGCTTTAGTTAATTACATTATTTTTATATTCCCAAACATAAGAATTGTGGATATTTTCTTTGGTTAAAAGAAAATTGGTATAGTGGTATCAAGGTTTTTAAGATGTTGGATTTGTTAGTTTTATTTTATTTGAAGCAAGTGTTAGTGTAATAAGACTACTTGTAAATGATCTTTGCCAAAAGAAAAAGAAAAAGAACAGAAAAGAAAGGGATGAGAAGAAAAAAACAGAAAAAATTCACCTCCAATATCACATTCGTCTTTCTTTCAAAAAATTATGGAGAGAGAAATAAAGACGTACAAAGAGGTTTAGTAGACAACTCGGTGTATCTTTTTAGCTTTTTTTTTGTGGTAAAAACCGAGCCATCAAAAAGGATAAATTGGGTCTACGGGTTAGAAGATATGCTTTTCAAAGCACCTACACCACCAAAAAGTTTTTAAAAACCTTGGATACCTAGGGAATTTGTATAACAAAACAAGGTGGACAGAGATATTTTCCCATAATTCATCAAGTGTCGTTGGTTGGTCTTATCCTGACCGTTAATGTATTTGTCCCATGTGTGTGGCGAAGCATCACTTTCTCTTATGCCATAGACTCACATCTTTATCTTTTTGTGTATGTAAATCATTCAAAAACCAAATCAGTACTCAAAAAATTGAACTGACCTCATAAACCTGCCAATAACCAGTTTCGAATGACCGGTAAACCAACCTGTTTAACCGCCCTTACTGGGCAGGTCCTGGCTAGTCCAAAAACGGTTAATAAATAAAAAAGTACAAAAAATATTAAAAAATTTGAAAAGTATATTTAAGTATGGTTAAACAAAGCACATCCAAATAAAGTTAAAAATTAATGAAAAATAGATTTTAAATAATTAATTTGTACTTAGAGATATTTTTGAAATGTTTTACAAAAACTAATATTTATGGCCAAGCACATTCCTAATCTTTTCTAAAATGATAAAAAGCAGTAAAAAACATATTAGAAACAAATCCCTTATTTTATTGGATTTTATATCAATGTTTCTGATTTTTCTTAAAATACCCCGCCGAATCATTAAAAGTGGCCGAAACGGCAGTACCTAGTTCCAATTTGGCTGACCGGTTATCAATCGGACGCATGGGACAAATATAACTTCTGCTTTTCACTTATATTACAGTAGAGAGAGACAATGGACCACTAATATGGCTGGTGTGTGAGTGCGATTTATTAAAGTGGTTAACTTAAACAATCAAAGTAAGGGGTACCTTTAAACTTTATTGGAAGATAAAGTGCCGAAAACTCCTATAACAGCTAAAAGTTTATTTTTTTGCCCTTATAAAATTTAAAATTTTAAAATAGTAGAAATTGAGCAAATCTATAAATAATAAGTCTTGAAATTGGACAATATATATAAGGATAGTATATCGTCCACGTATTTTGGACCCTTGAAGGGTGCACAAGCACGCTTGCAATGGATCAGATTGAACCGCATATCATCCAATGGCCCAAAAATAGTTTCAAATTTTAGTTTTTATTTTGTCTAAAAATGATGCATATCTAGAATTTAGTTATGAATGTATTTCTATACGGAGTACCTAATAAAAAGAATGAAAAATACTTTCAACAAAAAATTGACCAAAATATACTCTAAAATAATTTAAGGCATGTTGAACACTTCACACATAGAAATACATCAATATTCTTAAATAAAAATAAAATATGAAATATAAAACTCTATTATGACCATTGGATGCGGCTATATTTAATCTAAACCATTAGAAGGGTGCCACCTTTCTACCATCCACATTATGTGGGGGGAGGCTTTCTCACTAAGAGGTTGGGGTGCAAATCCCCATTGACTTACCCATTTTGGGAAGGGCTTGTTGAATTACCGAAAATAATAATAATAATAATAATGATAATAATAATAATAATAATGTTGTGTTGCAAGATGCATTGTTTATAATATTTTTAAAAGTTTTTCGAACATTCACATTAAGATAATGATTTTCTAGTATGAAAACAAGATTTTACTTTCAAATGAAGTTTTTCCAAATAAATGGACGTGGGGTTCGCAGTCTTTTGTAGGCGTTGGTGCATATCACCATGTGTGGAGGACGCAATTCTCTTAACCAGATTTGTTGCAATTGAAAGCGATTTCAATAATGAACTCGATAGGGAGAGAACCGTACTAGTTTGGTAAGTGACGAATTTGTGATCCCTCGCGATTGGGAAATGTTGTCCTTATCCATGTGGTGGTTATTAATTGATATAGCATTATCACATATGGTTAGAATAACAACAGCTGCCCATTGAAAATTATTGCTTTGTCCTTTAAGGTTTAATTTATGATAGCTACTACATATTTTGTTGTGGCAAAATTTACTAAAAAAATGAATGATGTGGTCCAAAAGTTTCCATTATTGAGACTAGCAACCGGACTTTTTATTTTATTTAAAAATTACCTGAAATAAAAGATAATTTTATTTTTGAAATATCATATAAAAATATATCTACACCTCAAATTTCAGATCAAGATAAATTTTAAATAAAATAAAAAACTAAAAATAGACGCGGGACGAGACTAGGTTTTCAATATAAACTAAAAGGGGCATGTGATCCCATCAAAATATTACATTGGACCTGCCAAAAAAATGTAAAACAATAAGACTAACACATAGGGGTTGTGATTTGAATGGGCAGTGATTTCATGCAACGGTTGTATCATAATATAATACAATAAAACTTCTAGAAAATCATGTTTGGGGCATTTGTATGACTCAAAATTTTGCACACACACTCTCTTCATCTCAATAATCAATCCCCAAAAGCCCAAAGTTCAATTTGAACCCTAGATATGGTCAAAATGAGTCCCCTCCAAACGAATCTAGACCATTCATTTGGTGAATTTTAAGATCTTAACCTTTATAAACTCAAAATCATTTTTTTTTTTTGTTGAAAATTGTTCATCTAATAATAATAATGCCATCAACAAAAATTGAAAATGAAAAAATCCTTCTAAGGCCTAGATCTAAGCATTTCACCAAAATGAACGGCCTATGTTGATTGGGCTAAAAAAATACTTTCTAG